CACCGGCTCAAGGTTGACTCAGCCTTCCATCCTTCCAAGGTCGGTAAAATGAGGACCCAGATTGATGGTGGCAATATACTGAGTCTGTAAACCACTTAGAGAGGACTGTAAAGCACTATGAACCGGTATATAAGTCTAAGTATATAAGTCTGCTATTGCTATTGCTTGTTCCAAGGTGATTTGGGGGTAAGTTTTAGGTATATTGTTTTAAGTATATTGTTGGTATTGTGCCCCCCCCCAAAAAAGAACCTGAAATAGAGATTTTTTATTAGCACTGACAATTTCTCTAGATGAAACTGGCAGGATGTAAAGCATGGGTGTAAAGAAATGTTCCTGACTTGCACTAACCTCTTCAATAAAAATGAAACTTTTCAGACCATTCATACTTCACGCATCCTATAGTTTTCTTAATGTAGTCTCATCCAACTTGGTATTTTCTAGATATGCTGGATTTGGACCACATGGCTGGCGGTATTATAGGAACGGAACTGATTTCATCTAAAAGCAAGAGATTCTGGAAGGCTGTATTAAAGATTTTAAAATTAGTACCAGACATCTGCTTAACTACAAAATCCACCAAATCATTGATCCCCAAAATATGAAGGGGAAAAAAATGTCACGAAATGTCATGTGACGGCAATGTGACGCAGGAAGTTTGACACCCATGATTTAGATCAAGAATTGTATGAAAACCTTAAGCCATATGAAATTGGTCCATGTGTTGGTAATGAACACAATATGGATTTACAAGGGAAAGAACCTGTTTTTTTCTACTTTTAGAAATTTACAAGCAAGCAAGTGAATAGGACTTTGTACTAGGAAGCAGTAAAACAGATGCAAAGTGCTGTTATTGGAATGGTGTCATCATTAACCAAAAGTATTTAAGAGGGAAAAAATGCCAATATTTTTTTCATTTTTTATCTAAATACGGTAGTATTAACAAAAAGAAAGCCAAGTCTCTGCATATATATTGTGTTATTAATTATATGATACTTCTAACCATGATTCTGGATCAATAAATCCATTATAATTCAAAGATTTGTTTAAAACTTCATGTACTTCTAAGAAATCTTTTAGTGACGCCCCAAAGGTGCTTTTTCAGGAGGCAACTGGACTTTCTTGTTTTTTCTTTGAAGTCATTTTAATTTTCATCCAAGAAGCTTTTTCAGCTCTGACTGGATGGTGGGGAATGGAAGGATTTATATTAATAAACCCTTCAAAGAAAAAACAAGGAAGTCCAGTTGCCTCCTGAAAAAGCACCTTTGGGACAATCATGACCTGGATTTTTATTTTTATTTTATTAGTCATATTTCTATGCCGCCTACTCTCCGAGGATTCTGGGCACCTTACACCAAAGACAGTATGCTAAATAGCATATTGCCCCCTAACAATCTGGGTCCTCATTTTACCCACCTCGGAAGGATGGAAGGCTGAGTCAACCTTGAGCCGGTGAGATTTGATCCGCTGATCTGCTGAACTAGCAGTCAGCTGAAGTAGCTGCAATACTGCACCCTAACCACTGCGCCACCTCGGCACAGTGGATGACTGAGAATCTCTATAGACTTTTAGCTATCCAATTTGGGATGAACACCCTTCGAATGGTGTAGGAGTATGAACGGATTTCCAGAGAAAAAATTGCAGACTACAGAACCAGGAGTACTACTCAGATGACCTTGAGGACACAGATAAACCTCCAAGTACTTCAACGATCTTAAAATGATGCAAATGACCAGCTATCTGTAAGGAATATAAATCCTTCCATTCCCCACTATCCTGTCAGAGCTGAAGAAGCTTCTTGGATGAGAAGCGAAACATCTTCAAAAACAAGGAAGTCCAGTTGCCTCCTGAAAACGCACCTGTGGGACAACCATGACCTGGATGACTGAGAATCTCTATAGGCTTTTGGTGATGCAAAAATCCATTCAAATCCAATAAACATAAAAATATTATACAAATATTGTACCACAGATTTCTTGCATTTATTGAACTAGATACGAACCTTTTGAGTTATTTTATTGTGATGGCCCTTGAAAAAACTTTATGATTATTTAAGATCCTTACAACACATCTGTCCAGTGGAAGAAAAAAGAGATTTTAGAGTACTAAATTCCTTTATTTAACAACACAGAAATATCACAAAAACAACTTTACCGGGCAAATTGAATGTTTTTATACAGTTTTGTACATGCCCCATAAGTGATTTGAAATAAATACACCATTTTCCAAAACTGCTTTTTCATAATTGCACAAGCATACATACACTTTACACAAGATCTATTAGAAAATTTAATAGATTACTGCACAGTTCAGAAATAGGAGAACAGTGTGAATGGTGAATGTTTTTGTGGTCTATGTTTCTGGGCAAGAGAAAAAAAAAAGTAAACCTATTTCTCTGTAACTGTGAATATGGAATACTTTCTCACATTTGAGGTGTCTTTTATGCACCAGGAAACAGCAGACCTCAGTGTGAAACTGCCAAATTTAATCAAAACAATATCTGAAACATTTAGCTGTTACACATAACCAATCATTTCAGTATCACTATGCATCCAGCTATGATCAAAGGCCCACTGTTGATTTGGCTGGATGTATTTCACCCTGGATAGAATGTTCATTTAATTATTTTTCTTATTATTAATTCATTATAGACATAGCCAATTTAAAGATTCATTTTTATGGTTAATTTTATGAGGTACCTAAAGGGGTGGAGTGGGGGAAAAAACAAAAAGAAATGTGTTATTTCTCTTATAGAAATGACTAATTCATTCTTGTAATGTCTATGGATAATGGTACAGGTTTACCTGGGCTTAAATTTGGCTTAACTGATACTCAGGTATATCCTGTTGACTACATCCTGAGCATATCAATATTGTTAGGCAGACACAGAACTCCTGCACAAATTATGTTATGCTTCCTTTCTCACTTCAGTAGAGTAACAATCTTGGCAATTCCATCACTGGTTCCTGCAGAGTTGTCCCTTTTTCAAAAGTAAAGGAGTACTCTGGCAAAAATATGAAATTTATTATTTAAAATATTTTACCCTGCTGTTCTACCACAAGGTAATGCATTTCATATCATATATTTTTAAAATTATTTACAGCATATCCTATTGAGATCTACTTAGAAGTTCCATTGATTTCAATACATTTTACCATCAAGTAATTGCATTCAGGATTGCAGCCTTAAGGACATTGTGTGGTAAACACAAGATTCAAAACTTTAACTATATTCAACATTGCAAATAATTTGTTATTACACAGAGAAGAGAAAAAAAAATGAAAACTTATTTCCTTTTTCAAAACGTTTGCAACCAAAATACTTTAATGCACAACGACATACAAGTGCTGTTTCGATGAAATGAAAAAAATATTAATAAAAGCTGCAGAATTCTACCACCCAATTAAATAAAATTTGTGGGAATCGAAGTAATCGTATTTATATTTTTATGCAATTGATATTTTTAACAATTCAGATTTGACATCTAAAAAAAAATCACAATTACAATATACAAATTCATCAGCTTTCTAAAAATCAAAATGAAAAAAATCCAGAAAAAAAAAAAACACTGACACATGCAACAACTGGATATTAAACAGTTAAGTACATTGCTATGAATCATTGTACACCAAAAGGAACCTGAACTGATATTTTTGTCCCTCTCCTTTTTAACAGCAGAAACAAAAATTATTCAAAACAAGGCCAGCTGAACACCGAGGTGGGAAATGATTTTTCCAGCATTTACGATATTGATACTTAGTTTTGTTTTTATTTATTTATTTTGAATGGGGGAGAGGAAAGAATGGCCCCATATAACTCAATTGCTCAATAATTAGCACAGAAAAACCTCAAATGACAAAAAGGAAAAACAACCATCATGTTGATTCAGGTTCAGACTACTTGAAGTCATGAGGTTGCATAATGAAGGTATTATCCTAACATTTTGGAATGGAAAAAACCTCATCTAGGATGATTTAGAACTAAGAAAGGGTACTATATTACCCAAATGGACATCCCTATGAGTATTTTGGAAAGCCTACCTACTGCACAGGATATTCTGCATCATGTCAACTACAAATGGAGGGGGAAGCAGATGCTAAATGTAGTCCAACATCCTCTCTTTGGCCAAGAGTAAAAGCTGCTGGAGCACACCTCTTCGTTTCTGTGGTGTAGCCAAGCTGAAGAGCCAAATGCTTACATCACAGGAGACAAAAGCATGGGTCAAAAGAGACATCAGATGCAAATTCTAGGGATTAAGAGCTGTGAGGCTGTATCCTAAAGCTTCCTGAAGAATGGTGACGAGAACATATTAAAGAAAATAACCTCAGGAATAAAATAGTCATATAATTAATTGCCTCACAATAAAAATGAATTATTTTCTGCGGTTATATGGTTAGAACTATCTATCATCTAACAGATTTTTCCAAATATAATCCTTTCTAATATCACTCAAACTTGGTTCGATTTTTATTCTGCTAATAATTCCTCCTAGTTCTTGGTCGTTCTCCCAATCCTTCACAAATCAGTGTGTACATATGTATTTGCATGTGTTTGCATGTCAAAAGAAAAAAAATAAAGAAAAGGTAAAAACCTTTCTGAAAGTTAAGATATCTTCACTGAGAACATTCAAACAATTTCCTTGCGTTATAAATAATCCTTTCTTTTATATAGTAACAGATCATTGTATTCATTCATTCAAACAATAGAAAACTCAGCTAAATTTTTCCAAAAAAGGTAAAAAGTACTATAATAAAAAGAATATGAAATGGTATGGTCTTTGTCTATAAAAAATTAACACGATGTAACTCATAAAAATCTGTGCATCTGAAGAGCATCTTCTGAATATCTAAATTCTGCAGTTTCAATGGGATTTCCACTTTCTCAGTATTATACCTTATGGGCTTGCTGTATCTCCATACAGCGCGGGGGGGGGGGGGGGGGAGAGAATCAGATATTTTCTTACTGTTAGATCACAAATATTTCTATCTTAAGTTAAACAGTCGTAAAAATGATAAAAAACGTATTTGTTGAAAAGAAGTCAGAGAGGGAAATGATTCATAGTAATGGCCTTTTCTGCTCCTTTTAAATCGTAATACTTTGCTACTGGCCAAAGTACCTTCAAGCTTCCTTCTTTGCTCTGTGACAAAATAAAATGAAATATAACAAACTGCTGAAAGAAAAATGCTATGTAGATATTTCGTCTTATTATTATCTTTGTATACATTAGAATTATGCATTGAAAATTTCATATTCTGTGACAAGATGTTCCACAAGTGGAATAAATTATGCAAAGTACTAAGCTTTGCATATATTTGAACCATATATTTTTCTAATGGGAAACGCTGGAATACAGTTTCTGTTTTAAGGATAAAGACTCAATAAGGAATTGCACATAAAGAGAATAGATGTCCAGTACTGTTTCTGTACTTCCAATTATGGGATTAAAAAAAATCTTCACCAACGTATTATTTGTTGCAAGTGAGAAAAATCTACAATTGTTAAATATGATAGGGCAATTATGAACAAATGAAAAACCCAAAAGTATGATGGGGAAAGTTAATGTCAGTAATAAAGAATATAAAAATTGTCAATGCGTATTCTCAACAAGTTCTATGTTCTAAGACTCTGGTAACTGCCAGTCTGTTTTCAATCCCATCTTTCTGGCAATCACAAAAGTTATACTGATTTTTTTAAAAAAAAAAAATTATAAAAAGAAATTATTTGCTGGCAAATTGCAGAATCCTGAACAAGTTCTCTAGCTTCACAAAATCCATTTTAGATCAATTGAAGCCATGCAATTCCCTTCACACTGTACTCCTCCTATCACTTTTTTTCCTGCCAATCAACTACTTTGCAAGCCTAAATTTTGATGAGATGGCTATAGCCATGAAGAAATCTGCATAGAGAATTTTTTTTTTAACTGTTCCACATTCGTGTGTTATTTCTGAATAGGGTAATAATAAATTAAATGTCTGATCAGGGTAAAGAGAAAAAGATCACAATCTATTTTCAACTTTCAATTCTATTAGAAGTGCTAACATTTGAGAACACCTTAAAAGACATTCTGAGTTTCATGTCTTTCAGACAGAAGAAAAGATGTAACCTCACCTACATATACAAACTAGTCTAAGAGCTAAATATTATAAACTGAGAAAAATAATTTCAGGTATCTTTTTCCCCTAATAAAAGATCTATAAAGCAACCTCTAGAACAGAGATGGGGAACAATAGCCCCTTTACAACTTGTGGACTTCAACAGCATGGCTGGCTCAGGAATTCTGGGAGTTCAAGTCCACAAGTCATAAAACGGCCATCATTCCCTACCCCTACCTCTAGCGGAAAGTAAATACATTAACTGAGAGATTTCCTGTTCCTCTCAACATATGAAATTGTTTTCATTTTGTGTAACAAACCATTCTGCTGTAGCTCTGCAACATTGAAACTGTATGTCTGCCTATACTTTAAATCAGAGGTGGGCAACTATGGCCCCTTTATGACCTGTAAACTTCAACTCCCAGAATTCCTGAGCCCAGAAGTTGAAGTTCATAGGTTATTAAGGGGTCCCAGTTGCCCATCCCTGCTTTAAAACCTATTTTGTTAAACTTTTCTGAGCATAATTGTTCCTATAAGATAACGCTTATGAAGATTAACTGTTACTGCCTGTATCTTCCCTGTCATACAACATGGTGTCCTGGGAATATTTGAAAGAGACATTATTAAATCTTCTTTTGAACAACTTTGCTCCAGGTAGTAATAGCAGAGTGTATGATAAGAATACACCTGTACTGGTGCTGATGATGATACTGGACAGCTGGCAACAAAAAAAAAGGGGGGGGGTAGAAGAGGAAGATTCTTAATGTTTAAATTTATTGCTCCAGATTTAATTTGCAGAAACACACTGATGTGAACAAAGGGTTAATCTCCATAGTTGGTCAGATGTGATTGTCTCCTCGTGTCTAAACACACAAAATACAAGCGGCTATCTGTACAGTTTACAGTACCAAAACACGTATCATTGGAAAAATGAAGTAGAGATATGGTACTTTGTCAAGATACATTATTTTATAGCAGGGGTTTACCCAAACGTATAATTTTGTTTTTAACAGCCACTTTAAAAATAGACAACAAGTTCACTAGTTATAGCTAAATTACATCAACAAAAGAATTGGTGTACTGAATGTGAGCAAACTGGCCAATTGTCAGGATCCCAGATATGGTGGTCTCCGGATAAGACAGTAGCCCTCAAAAGCTGGTTAATGCTCTCTTATATGGAATGTTGTCTTACTAAGAGGGCCTTTCAAGAGGAAACTGAATGTCATTTAAGACTTGAGGAACTAATGCCCAGAATGCAGCTGCTAAGAAATGGCAGAAGCTTTGTCTAAACAAAGATGAAACACAACAAGACATGCTGTCAGACGGTGAATATGATGGGACAGAAAATAAAACAGTATTATCTTATGTTTAGGCATTTCAATGGGGGGAGGTTCTGCTTCATCAGATACAGCCTCTTCAAATGTATTGTTTTCCCTCTTACCTGGAGACCACTCTATGTCATGATTTTTTTTTTTTTTTGAGGAAACCCCTATACATAAATAAAAATAATATTCTTCAGTGGTAGACTAAGCGATTTCTTAAAACAAGACTTTAGCTTGCCTTTCACTTCAGGCTGCCTTGAAAATAAGATATGCTACTGCTTAAAAGAACCATCGGAATGCTTCAGCGCTGGGAACAGGTGTTCTCTACAAAAAAGAAGCAAGAAAACAAGTTAAGCTTTCTTTCCATTGCATTATAAAACGTGCTCTTCTGTTTCTATTAATTGTTTTGTTTTTGGCTTTCTTTTACATGTCATTTGTGCTTTTAGTTGTCCCAGTTGTATGCAGTATTTCTTGATGATTAATGATTTAAAGAAACAGTCATGTTAGCAATGTATGACTTTTTTGAATTTTAAAACATCAATGGGTGAACTATTGGCAGTTATAGCAAGTGGTAAATAAGCATGGAACAGACTTGTATGTTTTATCTGTTAGTCTAAAGTTTACCAACTGGAATCAGTCAATGATATAGCAGCCTAAGTGGTGCACTGATATTATTTATATCAGTCCATGAGTGATAGGCTAGGTTGACCTGAATATTCAGGCACAAATCTACAATAGAATGAGATAAACATTTTGAACACAAAAAGAAAATGGCACAAATATCTTGCCAACAGTAAACAGCAAACAATACTTTAGTTGAATAACATAAAAGTTATGACATATAAACAATCAACATAAGACCACTGTTGAAAGATATGTTTTCCCCAAACTTGCGTTTTTATTATTATTATTATTATTATTATTAAACCACTGAAAATCCGCTTTTTGCCAGTCCATAGAAAATCATCCAAATCTCTAATCCATTTTCCTTCTGGTTTGTAGAACACTTTTGCAAGAAAAATGAGAAAAAGCTCAAGACGTGCTGTTCTCTCCCAAAAGTTCATTTCTGAGGTATACAGAACTTACTTCCCCCCATTAATCTATAGCTTCTCCATTTGGGGAAGGTACATTGATATTATAATTCCCAGTCAGTTGAAGGCCATATTGCTAGCATTTGGGGAATATATTATAATCCCAAGACATCTTGAAGGCACCAGGTGGAAGGCAGCTGGTTTATAGCAAAAAAATCCTTCTAATTTATTTAATAGGTTTCTTTCTTCCAATCCTCTCCCAGAGCAACCCAGCAATGTAGGATTAACTGATAAAGAACACCTGGATTAAAGTCCCAGGGAGATTCCGTGACTGAGGGTGTTCCTGGATCTGCCTACTCCTAATCCAACACCTTAGCCACTATTCATTTGAACTAAACTGTATTTGGCTACTTGAACTTGTACTGAATCCAAAAGTGGTGGGGGCTTTGGGGCAGTTTTTAAGATTCCATTAAATCCAGTTTGTGGAAAACTGATAGGACTATCCTTAGCCTGGAGTAATTTTGTATGTCATGGTAGGTGTTTTCTGAAGTGAATGATGGGGTGTGCTTTAGCTTTCTCTTTGTCCTTTATCTTCTCTATCTCTGAAGGAGGGGCATCTCTCTCTTCTTGACAGATCTCTCTGCTGGCAGCACTTGAAATCAGCTAGCAAAATGTGGCTTCAGCTGCCAGAAAGGTTTTAGCTGGCAGAAGCAACGTTTGCCTCATCCTAAACGCCAAATGGCATCCCTTTTAGTTAGCTGTGTGCTCAAAGATAAATCCTTTCTAAATTCCCTTCCTTTTCTCCTACTGGCTGCCAAGTATAAGAGGCCCTCACTTGCTATCTATGTACAGCTTTGTTTCCTCCTGATTGGCTTAACTGCCAATATTGTTTTGTACTACAGGATAACTGCTATGTGTAGAGAGCAAAGCAAAGCTGGCTGAGGAATTCTGGGAGTTGAAGTCCACAAGTCTTAAAGTTGCCCAGGTTGGAGACCCTTGTAATAGAGCAATCAACAGCACCAAAATGGCAGGTGTGACTGGCTGATGGAAGCCCTGTCCATTTTTAACATGGATTGAACACAGTGCCTGATATAAATGGGGCAGAACTTTGATTTCCTACATCCTGCTCTAAGCTATTTTTTTTTAAATTTATACTGTGAGGGTATAAGGATAATAAACAGAACACACACTTTATGTGCAAAAGACATGCTCTCTGTTATGACTGCAGACCAACTTACCCCAGTATTTTTCAGATATGTTTGAGTACAGCCTCCTCAGTTCCTTCTTAGGAAGGAAGAGGGCAATAGAATATCGGTACTGAATTAAGTGGGACAAGGTAGTAGATGGACTACCTCGGGAATGGAACTATATAACATGATACTAGGAAGATTATTACCATCACAATCAAAGACCACAAAACAAGTTGTATACTGTGTTGGGAATTCTGCATCCAGAAGAGTGGGTAGATATTTGTTTTATCTGAGTCATAGACCAAATAGTGGATATAAGTATTGCTTAACGCACTGTAAGCCACCCTGAGTCTCCGGAGAAGGGCGGCATATAAATCAAATTAAAAAAAAAAAAAAGTCTCAGCCTGATCTTTCCAATAATGCAATTCCAATAATGTTGCCAATTTAGATAGGGAAGCTGAAGGCTTCTAAATGTTGGCAAAATATCTTTCCTGTTTGATCAAGTCAGCATGGTCAGCAACATTTAGAAGATCAAAGGTTTCTTGTTCTATATAAATTCTCATTGGAGAGCTTTGAACTTCTTAACTAGACCTCTTCTATGGTTGAGGTGGGAAGAAAAATTCCAACTTTAGCCTCTTGTGTCTTATAATTGCAACTCTAAGTCACCTTACCTAGAAAATACCTTGGAGAAGTACAGATCACAAAAAAAAATTTATGATGAATATGCAGTAATTTGCAACAGGATACTTAAACAAGCAGAGTAACAATCACATAGTAGACTATTCCTAAAATCGTTGATGTTTATATCAACTTACAAATGAAAACAATTAGAATGCAAAATAATTCCTATTGACTTAAAAAGAGCTTATCTCAGAATAAATTCATGTAAGGTTGCACTATTAGTTAAACTTATTGAAGATGGTATCCCACAAAAAGTATTTTAATAAGTGCCTTGCCAGTCTCTAAGTATGTGTAAAATAAACTTTTAAATAGAAGTTTCAAAAATCAGCATTCCTTTTTAGGTATGTGGTGCTTCATTGATTCACCAGAGAATGAACATCAGAGGATGTTCCTTAATAAAGCAAATTCCCACACTCATCACTACTTCATAAGTCATCATTTTATATATTTTCCTCTTTAAAATCAACTGAATTTAAATGTAATAAAAAACTAACGAGGAATTTTTGATTGCTGGGGCCTTTCTTCCCATGCATCCCTGATGCTTTCTTCGAAGTACAATTTTCATCAACGAGAAATCAAGATTAGACAGCAGGAAATAATGAAAGAGAATGAAAAGGGGATGGAAAAGTGCTTGAACCAAAAGTTCTTCAGGCCAGCTTTCTGCAACGTAAGTACCCACAAAAGACGAAAATCTCCATTCCAAGGTTTCCCCTGTTAGCATGTCTATAACCGTGGGAGTTAAAGTTCAAATAGTTCTGAAGGGTATGCTGGTTGGGGAAGTTTGTAACAGGCTCAGGGACATTACATTACCAAAGTATGTGTATGTATTATGTCTGAATAAGGCTAGGAAGCTAAAAGAAACACAAGTGTCTACTCCTTAATGCAATATGCGATAAACTAATGACAGGGTTTCTTAAAAAGTTCTTAAAGGATTTATTCTTATTTTTCTACTTCCAAAATAGAAACAGTTAATTTAGCCTGCTTAGTAAAAAATTTAAGAAATGTAAAATTCATTCATAATTCTATATTGTAAGAAAACTTCCAAAGAAAGGAGCCTGAGTGGCGTAGGAGGCTAATGCCTCCTAAGGCAGCATTTAACATCCAGCTGCCTGCAATTACTGCAAGTTCAATTCTCACCAGGCTCAAGGTCGACTCAGCCTTCCATCCTTTCTAAAGTGGGTAAATTGAGGACCCAGTTTGTGGGGGCAATAAGCTGACTTTGTAGAAATATACAAAAGTATGAAGGCTATTGCTTAAAGCATTGTAAGCCGCCCTGAGTCTCCAGAGAAGGGCGGCATATAAATCAAATTTAAAAAAAAGAAAGAAAAAAAGAAACAATTAAAACTTACCAAATATAGAGTAATCTACTGCCAAGAACATAAACTGGCAGAAGAATATATATCTCTTATGATAAGAAGTTCCATTTTCTGCTAATATTACCTTGCATATCACAAGAGTAACTTGCAGGATAATTCATCTACTGTGTGAACTAAAGGTAAATTAGTTGGTCCAACAATGGGACACTACACTACAAAACTCTGGAATCAGTGAAGTCTCTCAAATATGCATTTTATGCTAACTTAAATTTCTAGTCTCTTTTAGACAAATCTATGCAAAGCATGCTATAGTAAAGGTAAACCTTCCTATGGTCAAACTCAACTCTTGATGCATTTATAAACATGTCCATATAGTTTTCTTGGCAGAACAGAAGAGATTTTCCATTGCCATTTTTACTTTAGACCTTTTACTTTAGGCATATGTATTACAGCTGTTTTAGTCTTCTCAGAAATTGAGCTAGTTAGTCTAAATCACATGTGTCAAAGTCAATTGCATCACGTGACATATTGTGACGTATCACTATGTTTTTTGCCTTTGCGGAGCCGGGTTGGGCGTGGCCTATGCATGATACATATGACCTATGGGCCGTCAGTTTGACAGGCCTGATCTAAATTTAGTCATAGAACTTCTGGAATCAACATTCTGCCAGACGTACTCCCAAACTGAGAATTTGATCTTTCAAAGGTAGTCTGATTCCCACAAAATGGGCTAATATCAAATGATGTTCACTGTTTATTCGTGTGGACAGCAATAATTACAGGATAATAACATGGACACGGTATAACAGGAAGCTTTGTTGCTCAAGCTCCACTACAATGAATGAATGTTGTGTAAGAACTTGGCAATGCTCTTCTTCAGCAGCCACTCATAGAGATATTCAGGAAAGTTATAGTATTACTTGTTCTTCAGCCACAAACTGATCCTACAGAATCATCTGTGATAGTGTTCATAGCAATAGACTTATAATACTCTTTATAGTGCTTTATAGAACTCTCTAAGTGGTTTACAGAGTCAGCATATTGCTCCCAAAAATCTGGATCCCCATTCTACCGACCTCAGAAGGATAGGAGTCAACTTTGAGCCA